ACACACACACACACACACACACACTCACTCACTCACTCACTCACAATCAATCAATCAATCAAACCCCTTTTTTGAAGTTTTTTCTTTATTTATTTTCAAATTTTGCATCTGCATTTTTTTTAAACACCTCATACCCATACAAAAAACAGAAATTCATTACTAAAAAAATACAGGTGAACTCAGGGACCATATATCTCATGATAAAAAATGACAAAAAAAAGTTCCAGCTTCTGTTTATATATATATTTTTAATTTTCTTTAAATCGAATTTAGTTTTTGATTTTTAAAAAATCCTAAACAAAGTCGGATTCCAAAAATCAAAATATGGGGTGTAGGGCTTAAAATTCCCTACAACCCGATTTTGAATTTTTTTTTTTACCTATTATTTAATTCAGGAAAATTCTGGTAAAATCGGGTCCGCGGCGCCGACCAGGTCGGCCGCGGACGCGGCCTCATCTGCGTCCGCCATCCGAGATCGGACCCGCGGACACGTCCGCGGGTGTTTCATAGGTGAGCCAAACTCGGCTTGAGGGATGAGCCCCATCGTTTGATGAGTGCCAACCAAAAGTCGGACATGAACCGAGTGTCACGGTCGCAGACGATTTCCTTGGGGTAACCCTTGGTTCGAATCCAACCGGCATAGAGAACCTCGGTCAAGTCCGGTGCCTTGGCGTGGTAGTGGCAAGGCAAAAACAAGGCAAACTTGGTGAGTCGATCAACCACCGTGAGAATCCCATCCACACCCGTCTTGTGCTTGGGGAACGGCCTGGTAATGTTCATGGCAATCGCTTCCCTTCGGCGCAAGGGGACCGGTAATGGTCGCAGTTTGCCGTACGGACGATGATTGCGGGGTTTGCAACGTCGACAAACCTCGCATGACTCGCAATAGTGCGTGACGTCGTCGAGAAGACCGGGCCACCAAAAGCGCTCGCGGAGTCGGCCAATCGTGCGATTGACTCCAAAGTGTCCGGTGGCGGGGGCGTCATGGAACTCGCCAAGAAGCCTCGTGCACAAGTGTGAATCTTGCGGCACACAAAGTAGATCCTTCCCCCTCGAGTGAACGAGCAAGTATCCCTCTTGGACTATGTTGCACGCCCGGTCATGACCGGGGATGAAAAATCGGCCGCGGTCATGGCCGACGGCCGAATCGGTCGGGTTCGGCCATGGCCGACCAGCAAAGTTTGGTGCAGCATTTGTTTTTTCATATTTTAGCGCAAAAAAAATAAATAAAAAAATGGGTGTGCAGGGCTGAAAAAGCCCTGCACGCCCATATTTTTTGGGGGGGCATTGTTGTTTTTAATTGCGTCAAAAAAAAAAAAAAAAAAAAAAAAAAAAA